ACTACAACATCGCGCATAACACATCGATTTTGCTAGCTAGGTTTGAAACGCAGTTCTTAGTCGGTCGGGTAAATGCATCTAAACACAAAATTAACAGATGTACGGCTTGTGTTAGGTCTCAGTAGTTGAATGAGAGCAATGGTAGAAAACGTTGTGTGTAGTTTTTGAATTCGAATTGAAGATCTTGATGTTACTCCGGATAATGTAGAGTATTCCACTGTGCACCAGTACAGATTTGAAAATTTCTGCTCTTTACATAACTTTGCAACCTTATAAAGGTCGTCAGAAGACAGACTCAGTTTGAGCAGCTGTCGCCTTTTAACAAAAAGCTTAGTAATGAAGTTACAGGAGAAGAAAAACCTAAGCATAACAATCACTTATATAAGCGTAACATAAAACTTCAGTGCTTTAACGCAGTTTAAATTGGTGTAGTATCTGCTCAATTAAACTTTTTATTAGTAGTAAAAGGTTTGAATTCAACTTTAACAAAAACCAAAATGAGTTTTTTCATGACTAATTTTCTACTTTTTGAAAAGAAGATTGAAAAAGGCAGTGGTGAAGATTACTGCAGTAAAGTCGAGGAATTAAACGAATCAATCAGAAGAATGGAGACAGAACATGATGAGAAAATCGCAGCATTAAAAAACGTGGCAACCTGCTTAATTTGTCAAAAGGAACCGGTTAGTTTATTCAGGACTTTTATGGTAACGCTGAGAGAAATTTTGCCAGGCATTTTGTTTGCTTGACGAATAGATAGGGTTTTTATCAAGTAGGTCCTATTTTACCCTTGTTTCTTTTATTAACTTTTGGATCTCAAATAAAACCAAGTCACAATGTTGAATCACTGTAAAACTATAAAAGTTTGTAGTGTTCTTGAAATTATTTTCAGATATTTGGCAAGCATTTTACGCAATGAAACAGAACTTTGGTTGTTAGGTTGTAAATAAATCGTTTTAAAAAACGTTATTGAGAATGCTTAAGGGTCTTTCGGTTTTCTATCAAATTTTAGTATAAATTGCTCGCAGCAACGAAATTATAATTTTCGGCTTAAATTGGGCTTAATGCCTTGAAGAAATAAGTGATTTCTGCACTCGAGAAGATCTTTTACTAAATGGGTCAATAAGAGAAAGTGACTAAGTAATTTGTAAAAATTCTTGTATTTCAGCGGCAAATTTTATTTTTCCAATGTTCACACCTGGTTTGCTGTGAATCTTGTGGAGAATTATGTAAGGAGTGTCCAGTTTGCAGACAGAAAATATGCAGCAAAATGAATGTCCGCCAGTGACACTATAGTACCTTGCTCTTTTGTTCTCGTGATATTCAGTACGTGTTTTTTTTTTCAGTGTTAATTATGCAAGCAGAATTTATGTGACAGAGTCACTGTTTATCAGTACTGCCGTGTTTTATCACTTTTTAGATTTATTCTCGTTAATTTTCATAAAGTGCTTCACATTAGCCTATGTACATGAGCTATTTCACATCAACTGGCAAATATTCTTCACTTAGTGCCTTGGAAATTTACTAAATTTTGATGTATATTAGAACCTAAGCTTACATACGTACTTCTGACGCAATAAAGATGCTACACAAACGGTTATCTCTTTCGATTTTTTAGATAACTGATTGAATAATCATAACTTTGGTCTGTTTCTTTTTCTTGCAGAAAAAGTGATGAAAAGTATTCTTCAAGAGAGGATTTTGTACGAAATATTGAAAGAGTTTAGAAGAAAAAAAAAAGAGCCAGAGAACGACAACAGCATTTGGGTTAACTACTAAACTCTAAAGCTTTTCAAGCTACCGTTGTTGTTATTTTGTCTCGTTCTTTTAGTTTTTTTGCACAAAACATTTATAGAACGTGCGGACTTCAGTTTTTTTCAGTGCCAGATCTGTAAATTTTTATGCCATTCAAGTGCATTGAACAGTGTGTTGAAAACTTTTCTGGCTAAAAAAATCTTTCTTAATAAGTAGAGATAATTAAACAAAACCGTAAAAATCTTTTTGAATGGGAACTTAGTGTACAACGTGTTTCGTGGCATTTATGGGGAAACAGTAAATTGTAAATGAAAGTGGGGAACTGCGACTAATTTCTCATTGTGTTGTAAATAATCACGCGGTAACGTCTCTTCAAAGAAGCTTTGCCTTGTTAAAAAAAAAGCAAGAAGATAGAAGCATTGTCTAGCATGTTCGAAACAATCCAGTTGCTGTATTAACAGTCCTCCATTACAGTTTTCTGAATCACATTTGGAGTAACCAATAAAAGAAAGCAATTTGTCTACGAGTTATTCTTCAACAACTTCTCGAATAAGTTCATAAACAACTAAGAAAATAAGGAGTAAGAACTGAAGACTAAAATATGTCATAACTGCATTATCTTAATGGTAATTTAAATTCGTTTTGATCGATTTCTTACGACTTTTACTTTTTTTTTTTTATCACTGGTTAGTAGATTGAAGGAAACCCACACTGTCGTTTTTTCACAAAAAATGAAAAACATTTTCCTAGAATGTTCTAGTAAAAACGAATGAGATTTTAGCCTTTAGTTCTAAAGGTAAAATCCTGATAACTTTTTAAATTTTTTGGATATTCAACTTTTAATACAATTCTTAACAAAAGAGTGCAATAAGTAGAAAAGCATGCAAAAAATTCTTTTACTATTGGTATAAATATTTAGAGCAATTAATTATATAGTAAACCAACTCTTAACTGACAAGTGACGTGTTTTTTCTGAAATCACTTTGCACCAACAGTGCAGAGCATCAATGAAAAGCTTACAGGTCAGAGTGAGTGTAATTAAAGATCAAGACACAACTAGGATTATGTGGCACAGGGAAACTCACTTTTGTCATACATTTTAGATCAGCATAGGTCTACAAAAATATGCTTAATCAAAGCTTTACTTTTTCAACTAATCAAATTAAAAAACTTTTAAAAAACTGAGCTTACTAATAAACTGATAAAAACTTTAAAGTATTTGCTTTTTGACCTTTTTTTCATTACATTCCTGTCCTGTTTAAAACGTTTAATTTTTCTTTAGCGCCTTTTTATTTACAACACAAAAGACAAGTGAGAAAAAGAGCCTTCAAACTTATTAAATTATAACTGCTTCATTAAAAATCACAATCTTTGCGGCAAAACTGTTCAAATTGTTTTGCTCAGAGAGAAAAATTTGGTAATTTCACAATCACTTCGCTGTATCATGCCTACCATAAAAAAAAGAAGAACAGAACTTGACTAACCTTTTATTACCCACTTCAGTTTTAGACAGATACTGTCCTAAAGTGGCAAATTTAATCGAGGTTTTGGGGAGATCTAAACCCCCACCGCAGGATTCAAAGCCCTGAGTGCTAACCACTACACTGCGGGACCTGCGCCTCGCAATTCCTTCTCCGTTGCCTATGCTGATGCGCAAATCAAGTAGTGTACAGACCACCTACTAGAAGATATCTTTCGATCTGTAACAAACGCTGTGGGCAAGGTGGTCAAAAGATATTCACACCTATTGTGCTTCCAAGCTTCCAGCACGCCTGGACCAGGTTTACCTTCTTTTTTTTTGCTGTTGCAAATAAGAGTTCAGTTGGGGACCTCACGACGATTTTTCGGCTTGAACGGGATGAATGTATTACGACGTGTGATCAGTAAATTGGTATTCTGATGGTCAAAATTTTGACCCAAATGAGCGAACTTGCTGGAGGTACTTTTGATTTCAGTGGAGAATGAAAGAGTGGGTAAGGATTACGGGGACAGACATATCCTCATGTGTCTTTTTTTTTTTTTTTCAGCTTGATTGAGCAATTTGCAATCGCTTTGAAAGGACAAATCCCAGGGCGGCTCACTCACCCTAAGACAAAGTTTCCAATCTTGTAACTTCTTCTCATTGATAACCAAGGTCCCGGGGAGATTTGAAGTCCCGTCGCAGGATTCACAGTCGGGAGTGCTAACCACTACACCACGGGACCTACGTTTGACAATGCCTTCTCCGTCGCCTATGCTGATGCGGAAGGCAAGCAGTGCAGGAACCACCCGCTAGATGTTTTTCCAATACTCCATTTTTCCATCTGCAGCTAGTGCTGCGGGCGAGGCAGCCGTAAAATACTCAAAACTGTCGTAATAGGAGCGTGGAAGCACTTCTGCTGCACAGTTGGTGACCATTTTTTGTCGTCGCGAACAAGAGTCCGATGAATTTTGATTGTTTTCAGGAGATTTTTGTCGCCCCTCCGTTTGTTATTGTTCTCCATTTCATCTGCTGACATATCTGTGGTTCCGAGGTCTGCTTAACTGTCGTCAACGTTGTGATGAATTGGTCATTCTTGAGCCCCTTATTCGGTCGTAGAACATGTTCTTGTCAATAATCTGGAAAGTATTCTAGGTAGTTCGTTTACAGCACGTATCGTCATGATATTTATGGTAGCTTGATTAGGTACTGTAGAACAATTGTTGATGACCGGAAATAAGTTTCATTGTTTCCTGCTATTTGCTTCGCTTTTTTACGTTTTCCTTTTTGTTCCTTAACCTTTTTGCGTGTTTTTAAGAAGTTTCTCCGTCGAAATGATTTTTAGATTTCAAACGTTCTTTATTGGTCAAAGCATTTAAAAACTTTTTAGATTTGTAAATTACTGTCGGCTAGTATTGAAGAAAATACTCCACATCTATTTATTTATTTCGCCATTTTACCGTCTGAAGTCGATCTAATGTTGTTGTGTCTACATACCAGCCTCATTGCTTTCTAATTTTTGTAATTTTTTAATAATATTCAGTACTGATTATGTTTGATAAAGATTTCTGGTTTAATTCATTCAAAGTTGTTTATATTACTTGGATTTTGAGGACTCTTAGTTATTTCAGGAGGTAGTTTAAATTAACTTTTTCTTATTACTTTTAACTGTCAAATTAAGCGCGACTGGGCTGTATGATGACCTTGTTTACAAAAAAGACGTTGCTTCTTGCAAATGCAGCTAGAATAAACATGATTAAATCTCAAGTATTGGCTGCAAAAATTCAGTGCATTTTTTCTGTTTATCTGACTTACTATAGCCTTGAAAAATGTATGTTAATTCTGATTATGGCCTTCTTTGCAAAATGCACTTTAGAACTTTCTTTTTTTATCACTCGCTTGAGAAGTTAAGTTCGTATCGAGGTCGTTTACTCGAATCAGTTCTTGCTTAATCAGTGTCAATCCTTCATTTATTTCTTCGTGCTCCATGTCGATATCGTATTTCTTCGTAGAGAATTTGAACCTCTGTGGTTAAGTTGGAATACTAGGTGGTGTATTTCATACTGACAATATTAGACGTGCCTGATCCATATCTTTTTCTAACGGGCTTAAACGATTAAAAGTACTTTATCAATCGTCTCGCAGACCACTCATTTTTCGTCATGTATAAGGTATATCTCCAAGCTGTTGACAAAGGGCCAATTAAGTGATAGTTTTTTTTTTTTGGAATTGCTACTACGGAATTTGAACCTTGATACAGAAATAGATTCTAATTGCAATTGCAGTTACAGTTGCATAAACACGTCCTTGAAAGACACTTCGCTTTTATCAATGCTAATTTGCGTTGTTACTTAACTTTTATGGGGGAACGGCGAACAAAAGTTGCTCATGAGTGAAAACAAAAAATGAATTAAATTGCAATCTTATACCTTTTTACTGCAAGGTATCACTTTAAAAGGTGTTTTAAAATATTCCGACAATCTGGAAGGAAAATGGGGTAAAAAACTGAAATGCATTAAAATGTTGGTTGGTCGTGGCGGTCGACAGAGTTACAAAATACTTTTGAAAGTTAAGAAAACTGATTTCCGCATAAAGTTCTTGAAGTTCCAAGACTTCCTGCGCTGTTCTTTCTCACGTTTTTCAATGTGGTTCTATTCGGCTGTTTTTTAATACTGTCACACAAATGGAACGGTTATCTTGAGTACTGAAAAAAGTCAAGAAGTTTTGCAAATTTTGAACGTTTAGGGAAGCTGACAACGAGCTAAACGTCAGGCGATGGGAAAATTACGAAGTAAACGACTTGTAAAGCGTGTATTGGTTGAGCTTCTTCAGTCAAAAACGGTCTAATATCTCAAGGTAAATAAAATTATTTACCATTGAGGTTTTAATCGAGTGTTGATAGTGGGTGCTAATAGCTGAGTAAAGTTATTAAAAATTTATTTTTTTTAATGACTCGGTTGCAGGATCAAAAATACTGTTATTAAAAACTGCTCAAAAATTTTTTTAGAACTGTTTTATGACGAAAGTAAAACGGTTTTGATATTATACGCGGTTCGCTCAATTTGTTCCTCCTTAACTTTCTAAGCGTTGATTGACAAAGAAAAAACCAAAAGCGAAATATGAATAGTTTTACGGCTCTTGGAAAGTTCATTTGTTTTATCACAATTATGTTATGATTCAGCCGCAGCTTACGTTCATTTTGAAACTCGCCGGTGTTCCCATTTGTAAGTCCAACTCCACGGAAAATCTTGGAAGTATTAGTCAGTATTTATTATTATCATGCATGCCATGTATGATACCTACAATTTTTGATCACGTTACTTGCAGAACCAAGAACATCTTAATTCAAATGAAAGGAACCTTGCCACCCGTTTAGAATATTTATAAAATTTTAGGTGAAAAATGTTTATACCACTTTTTATGCTGCTTGTGGAAGGCTTTCTGAAGTTACTTATGTAAAAGGTAATCTGAATAAGCGCTGGTCCCTGTTTTTTCTTTTCAGAAATTAAAATCACCACTGTAGTTAATTGATGCATTTATTATTTAACAAAAAAAAAAAAACGCAACGGGATGATTATTAAGTAATTTATGAAGAGGCACTCTTATGAATCGTAACCTGAGTGTTAAACGAAGACGTTCCATTACGCAGTGCTAGAAGAATATAATATTTTTTACCTGTTGGAGAGTTCTGTATACTTCTTACTTATTTGTCGAAAGGGAAACTAACATGCTTTAACTGGTCGGGTTACAATGCCAATTAGCTACAGCTTCCAACACCACAGTAAGCTTCATACAACCACTTCTCTTATGCTTGTTGCAACTTAAATGGCTCAGGATGGGTAGCATGTTGTCAGGTTTACAGATGTTGCGGTGTTTCGAAAATTTTTACGGCGTTTTAGAATTACAAGTCGAAGCAGAACAGTTTGCATTTACTTTTATAAACCTTTATATTTACAGTCAACCAGGTTAGAAAGAACGACTAAAAAGTCATGGCGTATTGGAATGTGAATAAATGAAATATTTTTACCTACAAGTGTGTTAAGAGGTCGTTGAGAGTGAGAGGAATTTCACTAGAGTAAATAGCAGCAAGTGTTATGGTTAATCTGATCTTTTTTCACAAACACTACCCTAACGCACAAATCAAAAAGAATGGATATCAAGAAGTAGCAACGCGTCGAGATGCCTTAATCACAGACCCAAATTATCACACTGTCTTAAAAACCTGATATTTGCTTTGTTAACCTTCAAAAAAGGCACTACCTACGAGTTACTAAGAACATCAAACTTGAGTATACAATAAAGCTTACATTTATTTTTGTGGCAAACCAAGACTGATCAGAACTGATCAGAATGAGTTATACTTAAAGATACATCTCGGTTGACTGCTGCTATAAAAAAACTGTGGTAAAAAGTTCTCTTACGATGTTCTCGCACAAGTAAATCCACATCAGACTGACATACAGAGTGAAGCACAAATGACCTTCGCTGTTATTTGCAAAATGGACCATCGTATTTGCATTCCCGATTCCCAGCTACTGCAAAGAGTTTTGGCGCATGGGCATTACATATACATAGTCGATAGGCATCTATTGACGCCTCCAGTAAGGGTGACTTGCTGATAGGCAATGGTACGGTTGAAGCGCCAAACTTTATTTTTTTAGCTTGGAAGTTTAAGTGACTTTCATCATCCTAAAAAATCACCTGTGATTACAAAGCATGAAGCGTTTTTTTAACAGTACCTTAACTTGTAGATCTGCCAGCAAATTAGCACATATCCTTGGTGCTAATTTCTTCAAAACTAAGGTTAAAAAATCTCATTACTGTAGGCCGAATAACAATGCGGGTTTCCGCGTCGACTGATATTGCATCTGCAACCAGTTGAATTCGCTCCATTCCTCGTAACGCTATATTTTCGGCTGTAACAGTCAGATTCTTGTTTATTGGCGAACGAATCTACAAACGTTTTATGATTTGAATAAGCATTATACTTTATTGTGGTAATAAAAACGTATCTTACGTAGACAAAAACTTTTGAATATAACAAATGGCTGCTCTCCTTTACAGGGTAACAGCTCTCAGTGAAGTCACTTTAGACTGTCTCTAAAATCTGAGCCATTGGAGCAGTGTCACTCTGCTAATAAAATAATATTTCTGTCACATTAAACATTCTCAAATAAACGTCAATAATGAACTTTGTTTGTAGCAATCTCTTTGGTTGAAAGACGTTTAATGCGTTCATCAATATTGAACTGCGGATATTTGGCGCTAAAAAAGGGGTTTTTTTCGCTGCCAATCTGAAAAATGACAACTTATCAGAATAATTTACATATGCTTTCTTTTAAACGAAACTTAAAAACCTTACCAACGCTTTCAACTGCAAATTTAGTCCTTCTGCTGTTCAGAAATTTTTATGGATTTTTAAAATTGGTTTCAGTGCAAACGTGATCTATCCAACAATGCTGATAGTGACTTTTTGCCAAATTCTTCTTTGATTTATCTGATGAAGCCAAATAAAAAAGCACCTCATCTTTAGTGCAGCAAAAGCATGATAAAAGCTTTGAGAATCATAAAATCAACTCACAAAAAACTGATCGACATTTTCAAATTTACATTCGCCATCCTGTAGCAGAAACCGACTTCCGTTTTGAGCACCTTTAATAATTACCTGCAACCCATTCTGTCAAAAACTTTAATTCAATTCTCTAAACTTCAAACCCAATGATTTTTTAAAAAGTGCGTTTTTACTGCACCAAACAGCCTATTAAAAAAACAATATAGAAGAATTTTCAAAAGTTGAGACGTAATCAAAAATTACAGAATTTTAAACCTCTTATAAAAACATACTCAAGGATTTAAATTAAAATGGAACAATGTTTCCCAGAATTTCGTAAAATCTAGTGTTAAAAGAAAAATTGGAAAGCTTACTCTCGATCCTTGAATGTTGAGGTCGCTATTTGGAGATCCGTAAACGTGGCCAGTTTTAGCAACGACTTTACCAAGATGCATTTCGTCAGCGACAAAGCGAAGAACTTTTGATTCCTGTCCAGTTTTTGGATTCTGTCTTGTGTGTAACTGAATATGTTTCATTCCTCGATGAGTCATTCGAAGAGTTTGTATAAGATAAATATTCATCTGTAAAAGTAAATGTAATGACATTATTTCTGAATCTTATTAGATAATTACTGTGCTGTCTTTTTTCATGTTTTATTAATTAGTTTTTTTTTTCGTTATCACTCTCAAAGCCTCAAATTCTCT